GGTGTTGCTACTGCTGCATCATAGTGCTGCTGCTGCTGCTGCTGCAGCTGATGCTGCAGCTGCTGTAGCTGCTCCTGTTGATCCTGTTGCTCCATTGGCCAGATCTGCTGCTGCTGCTTCTGCTGCTGCTGCTGCTGCTGCAGTGTTGCTGCTAGCTGCAGCTGGGGGCGATCATCTAGGTGTATATCCATAGTATGTCCTTTGTTAACTCAATAACAGCAGCAGCATTGTGTGTTATACTATTTGCTGCTGCTGTTGCTGCTGTTGCTGCTGCTGCTGCTGTTGCTGCTAATGGGGGGTTGACTCTGCAGCAGCAGCAGCAGCAGCAGCTCTCCTGCTGCCATGTGCTCCTGTGGCGCTTTCTTAAGTGTAGGTATGAGTTATAAAATGGTGTAGAAACAGCTGCAGCGGCAGCAGCAGCAGCAGCTGCTGCTGCTGCTGCTGTTGCTGTTGCTGTTGCTGCTGCTGCAGCCCTAGAGGGGGCCGTTGGTGCAGCCGACACGAGCTGCCTAGACACCGCAGAGTGTCTTGTCTTATAAAGAAATAAATTTATTTTTTTAATTAATAAATTAATTATTATTATATTTATTTATATTTATTATTATTTCATCTTAGCAGCAGCTACATCCTCTGCTGCTGCTGCTGCAGCATCAGCAGCAGCAGCAGCAGCGTTGACCGCAGCAAAACAGCAACAACAGCAGCAGCAGCAGTGCCCGTCGGCTGCGGTTTGTTTCTCCTTTTTGTTTGTTTATATAAATTAATAATTTTATTTAATTAATTATTTATTATTTGCTGCTTATTTGCTGCTGTTGCTGCTGTTGCTGCTGCTGTTAATCCTATTGCTGCTGCTGCATATATTATTCCTGCTGCTGTTGCTGCCTCACGTGCTGCCTCGTTCGTTACACACACCAGCAGCAGCAGCAGCAGCAGCAGCTGCTGCTGCTGCTGCTACTACTATTTAATTAATTAAAAATAAATTATATATAAATAAAAATAAATAAAAAAAGAATTAAATATTAACAGCAGCAGGAGGTGCCTATACACCGTAGATCTCTTGCATGCAGCTAGACTTCGATATTAACTGCCTATACACCGCAATTTAACGACAATATAAATAAATAAAATAAATAAATAAATAAATAAATAAATAAATAAATAAATAAATAAATAAAATAAATATATAAATAAATTATTTATTTATGTATTTATAAATAAATAAATAAATAAATAAAAGTATTAATAGGATAAACAGGAAGACTTTGCATGCAAGTAAATTAATGCATATAAACATAAATATAAATATAATTTATTTATATATTTATTTATTTATTTATATATTTATTTATTTATTTTTATATTTATTTATTTATTTATATATTCATTTATTTATATATTTATTTATTTATTTATTAATTAAATAAAACAAAATGTTATATAAAATAAATTTTCTTGTTTTCTCCGCTGCATCTAACAAACTATACATTTACCCTTCCCCTTCCTCCCTCCTCTAGCTAGCTAGCTAGCTGTATATATATATA